CTCCATCGATCCACAAAAAATAATTTCCGTAGGTCGAGGTTTATGCCTTGAAAAACCGGTTTTTCGAGAACCCCTATGCCATAAAATATGATTCTTCATCTTTTTTCAATATAACTTTTATCTATGGTTAATCTGACTTCACATTTCTCATTAAAACCCTTCATCGATCTAATTCTACACTTTAAGACGCACGAGACAATGACCAATGGAAAAACCTGTAATGTTAAATGCAGCAAGACAACTAATCGACTAGGTTTTTTCAACGAGAACTTTCTCTAATTGCTATTCACTAAGATATTAATTTCAGAATAATTCTCTCTTGTTTGACATCTATGACACTTGTTTATTTTCGCTTGAGGTTAGACAAAAAAGGACGATAATTGTTGGAAAAAAAAGATTGACTATTATCTTAGTCACAAAGTTTATCTATAAGAATTTCATAACAATGAAATTATAAACAAAAATTATCATTTTATGAATGTGAGACTAGCTCCATTAGATGCAGCGTAGTCGATAACCTAAAAAAACTTTAAACAGGAAAAAAACAACGAGAAATATTCAAAAAATTCAGAGTTCAATTTTGTTTTGCGTTTTTCTCAAAATCATTTTTTTCACGAAAAATGTTCAGAATCGCCCCCGTTTCTCAGCCCCGGTGCATCCGATCGAGCTGAAACTTTTTTTACAGATACTAGAGATACTTTGGGGTGCCTATTTTTTTTTGTTTTGAAAAATATTGTACTATCGATATTTGGCAGGTTTTACAAAAAAAGTTGTAGTTGAAAAACATGCACTTTTAAGGGTGTTCTCGGTATTTTGACTTTTTTTTTGGAACGGAACGAGATAGAAAGAAAAAAAACAAAATAGGCACCCCAAAGTGTCCCTAGTACCTGTAAAAAAAGTTTCAGCTCTATCGGACATACTGCGGTCGAGAAAGGGGGGCGATAAGGGGGGCCTTTTTTAACCATTGAGACCCCAGGATCTCCCTGAAGGAAGCATTTTAGAATCTTGAGTCTACGACAACTTTTGTTCTACTCATCAAGGTCTATCTACCCTGAAAGTTTCAGAAAATTTCCTTGAGCCGTTCTCAAAAAGTGGCGGAAAGGGGAGGGGTCCCCTTGAAGACAGAAATTTTTAGGAGCTAACAATGATTAATTTGTCGCTTTTATTAATCAAAGCTTCGTCGCAAAATATCGAAAAAGGTCGTTTGTTGTAGAATGCAGGATATGTTGAAATGTCAGACCATTGTGTAGTCAATTTCATTTCGTTAAACTTGGAATCAAGCATGCTGCAACATATTTTGGTTGTAAATGGAAAGCGCATTCTTGCAAAAGGTTCAAATGAAAGCTATAAATACGGGAGGATAGACACTACCGGTTAAGCAAGACTTCTCGATATAAAAACGAAGATTGTTTTAGATGAACATCTCCAACAGTTACGCGTTTGTTCTGCAAACGATTTTCAAAGTGTGCTGCAAAGTACATCATTTAACTTCCATGAATGTAAACATTGGTTTCTATGTTTCTACCTTCGAACACATTTTTCTGAATTGAACATCATGCATGAAGCTATTTCATTGTGACTCTTTTTACTTTTACTCAGAACTAGCTGTGTCATTGAAAGATTGGCTGGAAGTCTCGAAGCAAATTAACTATTTTTCCTTGAGTCCCGGTCCCACTTCAGACAATATGACGAAAAATTTGTCCTGCAGATCCACACTGACGACTCGATGAATCATACGAATTTTTATCTAGACGAGTTGCTTATTAAAGGCACCAACTTTCAAAAGACGAATTGGATTGATGATGCACTGAGTAATTTACTTCCTCGTGCGATCAGCATCGATGAAAAAATCATTCTTCACTTGTCTGCACAGTCTAAGATCTCATTTAATCATATGTGCTTCCTTTTTTAGAGATCGCTTAGTGATTCATATGTCTAGAGCGTCAATCGACGAAGTTCAATTGTACTTTGATGTCAACGAACTGACTAGAGATCAAATATATCCTGAAGACCCTCTTTATTCAAGCAATACTGAAAACAGAAGGATTTCTCTTTATGGGAGCGCGAATAATCGATCATCAACGTGGGTCGATACTTTTGAACGAGTTGATAAATTCTTGTTGAATAATTTATATCAACTTCCTTTACAAATTATTAATATCGTTATTCTTATACTTGGTCACTATTTTGCTGGATATCAGCGCAATGAATTCAATGCTGTGACCATTATATCATTATGCTTAATAGTGATAAACATTCTCGATTTAAGCCTTTTTCTAGAATTGCTTATACGTAATTCCCGTTCGTACAGTGCAATCTTACCGATTTATCAGAAATCATCCAACAATCAATATATTATTTGTCTACGTAATTGTATGAGCAACGCCTCGTTTGTGCTCACAGTTATTGGTATAATATGTATGTTCACATCAGCCAAACCAATCAACACTGGTTGTGAATTCGTTTGCACTACTCTTGGCATAGTGTGCGTTGGAAAATGGCTTTCCTGGCTCAATCCACTGCCGAAACCGATTTTGTCTGAACAATCATTTCCTATTCCAATATGTTCTGTTGTAGTCCAGATTATTGTCGCATCTATATATTTTGCTACTGTAAAGCCTGCTATGTCAAATGTTCAAAATATCGAATGCAGATTCACAAATATCGAAGATATCTTTTTGCGCGCACCCCTGAAATCTTTTGCCCAAGCTGGACTCAGTCTGTTGGGTGTCTTCATCGGCCTGCATATTTTCCTTGTTATTATTTATCGATCTGTTTTGCCTCTTCCTCATTGTCGATCAATTGGTATTCATTTATTAGCAATTCACTATGCTTTGTTTTATTTGTTAAAAGTTGCTTATATATACTATCATGCAATTGGAGCTGTACTTCTTTTTCAACCTCGTTCCGGTGGATCCTGCCAATTAGTTGCTCCAGGTCTATATAAAACTCTTTTATGGTGGCTTCGTTTTAATATTTTTTGGCACTATTTCGTCATCTTGTTGAGTCTCGCCATATTTTGTATTATCATCTGTTGTGGTGCTCTATGTGTCGGTTTGTTTTTATCGAACAATCCCGTCGTCTCTACGGTATTTCAAGTAAGTAACTGCTTTTGTACAGAGAAGTTCAGCATTGCCTAGAACGTTCTGTTTTGAGGAATTGTTAAATGTTGCTTCTACTCCAAGAGGTCGGCATCCTTGGACAACCCAAGAGAGTATTGATGCATTTCCAATGGTCGTTTTCGGACAAGCACTCGATCAGTTCCAGCAGACGAAATGGTTCGTATAGAACGGTCGCGATAGTTTTTTGACAGCATAACCACAAATTGACTTTTTTCATATGTTTAGTGCAATTTGTCAAACGGATTTCGTCTTCAACGAATCAGTGAAAAGACTACCTTGTGGGCATTTTTTTCATGTGCAATGCTCCACTCAGTGGGTTCTACTAACAGACACTTGTCCAATATGTCGTCAAAGTATGAGATCGACACATTAGCAGACAAAAGATTTCATTTCTCCACTAGCGATGTCTTGAATTCGTAATCATGAATCTTTTTTATATAAATTAAACATGAACAAATGCTTTTAATTCAGAAAAAAGAAAGACAATATTTGTCTCTAAGATCGGCAAATCTTTTCATAAAAACGGAATTTTGCAAAAAACTGAACCATATTTTTAACTGTTAATGTTGGTGGCGACCTGCGTCCAAGATTGAGATCAAAGATCGAAACGAATAAGAAAATTGATATTCAAATTCGACTCGATTCGATAGCATCTATACTCGGTTGGATTCGATTTGACCGAAGCTCTGAAAACCCTAATTCAATTCGGTTTAAACTGAACAAAACCAATCTCTCCATATGATGTACTGATATTTGTTTTCCTGTGGGTGTGGGTGTGGGTGTGGGTGTGGGTGTGGGTGTGGGTGTGGGTGTGGGTGTGGGTGTGGGTGTGGGTGTGNTCAAAATAATTTTGAAAATATTTCAAGAGATTTCAAAGGATTTCCATACATTTTAGATCCCACAACCTGCTTTTTCTTCTGTTTCTTTTTCTTTTTTTTATACCCAAATTTTTCATGCCTTTCTCATTTATAATGCACAAAATAAAGAAAAATTGATTGATCAGTTTCATATCTTTGAAAAAAAAGAAAAATGAATTAAGTGATATGTCAAGAATAGATAGTGACGAGCAGAACGAAAGAAATTGCTCTGCGCCGAAGTGATTGCGACGAAATGATCGGTCACCTTCATTTGGTGCCAGAAGTTGAAGTTTAAAATTCTAAACAAGGAATCTTAACTTAATTACAATAAGTTTTACATATTTTGTTCGAAATATTATTATACTATAGTAAAAGAAGGTAACAACAGATTAAGTGAATTCACATCAAATAGAAACAAACATCAAATAGGAATATCGTTGATTTGACTTCTTTCAGAATATTCTTAATTTCATAAGGACTCCTTAATAGTCAAATAATGTCTAATATTTTTATATATATATTTATCTTTGTCAAACAAAACCATGTTATACTCGTTAACCTCTTGTTCTTTAAAGATATATCACGTCTTAGAATTTTTGACTGTATATCAAGTTGCTTTATCATTTTATTTAAATTGTTGCTTTGAGATATCATGTGTTTATTTATTTCAGCTTTAATAAATCATTGTGTGCTTTAATCAATAGAGAAAACTTTCATAGTTTTGATGTAATAAAGTGAGTTTTTTTCTAATCATAATTGTTTAAAAAATGATATATATTATTGAGCAAAAAAAATAGCTGAATTTTGTTTTAGAAATCTGACTTCTGTAACCATGCGACATTCCTGTAAATTGTAATTTTCAACACTCATATTCTATTATTTTCTTCCTATGACGTTCGCGAGCGTAGGCGTTTCTTTTTTATTCTATTTTTATATCGGAAAATTCTTCGTTCTGGCATTCTTTTTTTTTTCATCAACGCATTTACCGTCGGAGCAGAAAACTTAGCATTTTCCAATGTTTATGGGTGAAGGCTTTTGTTCATTAAATTCCACGATATCATCTAACTGTTCATCATGTTTTTATGGACCTTTTTGTCAATTTAGTACAGCATATTATGGTATTATATCATTACAAACTTTATTATGTTCATTTGAATACATTCCAATTAGTATACTTATTAGTATTCTTTTTGTCGGTAGTGTATGTAATTTGTTAGCTATCGGCACATTTTGTCAATCGAAAGCACGTGAAATGGGTAGCGGTATTTATCGTCTATGGATTTCAATTATAGGACAATGTGGTCTAACAGTTGTTGTTATTCATATACTTATGGAGCAAAATAATAGTGAAATGATAGGTTGTTTCATTTTAGAATATCTACGTAAAGTCCTTCATGCTTTATATGATTCATTAACAGCATGTACAACATTAGAACGAACAATCGTTATCTTTCAAGGTATTACATTTAATAGAATGCGTAGTCGACGATTATCTAAATTGATAATACCTATATTAATATTATATCATTTTGTTAGTATTGTTTATGAACCATTTTCTCGTCAATTAATTTATTCACTAAATCGATATTGGTGTATATTGGAATTTTCTAATTATTCAATTGTTATTCATCAAAGTATAACTAATATATGTCATTTTATTTTGCCTTATTTTATTAATTTAATTTCACCTATCATTTGGGTTTTGGCTTTAACAAAAAGTAAATCAACATTAAATAAAAATTTTTCAACTTGGATCAATTTAAAAAATGTTTTATGTACTTACAAACACACAATTATCAGTTGTTATATCCTTGTTATTCAAAATACACCTCGTTTTATCTTTACATTTTATTTAACTTGTATTAAATTACAATGGCAAAATAAAGCTTATATCACTGCTTATTTTCTTTCATTGGTTCCGCTTATGTCTAATCTATTTATTTTTGTTTTACCATCACCAAAATATCGACTAGAATTTTTCGGTTTAGTTCAACGTATCATCAAATATCGATATAGATTACAATATATACCAACGTAGATGCTTTATTTGTCTGTACATTTATGTTGTCCAGTATTCAATTTTATTCCAAAAAAAAAAATAAAATATGAAAAAATCTCATTGAAAAAAAACCGAAGATAATCAATACAATCTCACAAATAATCAATTACAGGAAATGATATTTGATAGTATTTGATCAAAATTTGATAATATGGTATTATGTATCAATGGACATAAATATAATACCTAGATATAACAGCTGGCAAAGTACGGTTGTAACTAGAAAATAAACAAGCTGACAACAAGATTCCGCGAGTATCGTATTTATGCTTCTAAGAATCAGATGTGTTTTCGGCAGGAAACGATGGCTTTCCAGCTGAAAAATTCGCTAGAATTAGGCACGAATTCATTGGCTTAATTTATTATTGATTTGATGGCGTAGTGCATGAGTGAAACTATTGTTAAAATAGGAAAACTTCTAGTTCACTCATTGAATATCTACATCAGTATTTTTATTTCAAACATAGACAAATAATCTTATAAATAGTATCTATATATAATTGGAATCACCAATTGATAAATTTGAAATTTTCATGTATCAAAAGTAGAGCAAAATGATATTCATTACATTTTATAATTATGATTCCGACGTCTATAAAATAAAAACTTGTAGGATGTAGTTTACATCTCTAACGGATAGACATTTAATCTGACGCACACATATAAATCTTGTTTTTTGTTTTTTGAATAGAATATGAAACCAGCGTATCCGTATAACTTATGATTGTTTTACTGAATATTCAATCCAGATTTAGGTATTTACCGAAAAATCAAATAACAGAATTTCGACCTAAGATTTTGTCTATAAGTAGAAAAGAATGTCAAAGGACATTTCTTTAGTCTGAAATCTCCAGAATGTTTCCAGAATCATTAGATCTATCGATGGACAAAGTCTCAGATCAAAATTTTCATTATTTAATTTTTTGGTAAATACCTAAAGCTGGATCGGATATTAAGTAGAATGGTCGTAACTCGACTCTTTAAGATCCATAAACACGAATCCTATTAAAATTTTTCTAATCTTGCCGAGATTTCTTTATGAACCTAATATGAACTGAAATAGTGAGTATCAATTTGTGTAGTTCTCTCGTGAGATCAATCAAGATATTCAACATCTCACGCCATCTACATCCAATTAGAATACTTGTTTGCAAAAATACATTGCTGATCAGTGAGTTAGAATCATTAGTAAGTTTTCTTTTTCGTTCTGAAAAAAATTTTTCTTGTTATTATTTGTATAATGAGTTTAAATCACTTGAAATAATTCTTTTTCATTTTCAATAATGTACCTATTGCACTCAACAGATTATTTTGAGTTTATATTACACATAGATGTCTGGAAAACATGTTCGTAAATAATTGGATGGTCCCATAATAAACCAAAGTCGAGATATAATTAAATAAATAATGTTTGTTTATTTTTATGTTTTTGTTTTTGAGTAAATTGTTTTTTTTTTCTTTTAGATATCCCATTACTTTAATCTTTTTTGTTTTGTTTTCTTCTTCTTCTTCTTTCTATTTTACATTTGATTTCAATCTTGTCGATAACAGAAATTTTACCTGGTGTGTATCGAATTTATAAATTTTATGTATTAATTAGTATCTGATACATTATGTCGATCTCAAAAATAAAAAATGCTGCAAAATCTTTAAAAACATTTCAAGGTATTCACTTTGAACAATGTTTGGATAATGGTGAAACAGCTGAGCAAATGAATAAATGGCTTTTAGAAGTATCATGGGAAGTAGCTAACAAAGGTAACAATAAAAAAAAAATTTAAAGAATTTTTTTATACTTTAACACATAAATTTTTAGTTGGTGGAATTTATACTGTTATTCGCTCAAAAGTACCTATAACAAAAAAAGAATATGGAAATAATTATATTTGTTTGGGTCCATATAATGATTCATTTGTTAAAACTGAAGTTGAAATTAGTGAATCTAAAAATGAGGCTATACGTGAGACAGTTAATGACATGAAACGTTATGGTGTTAATGTAGGTTTAATAGAAATAAAAACAAAAAAAAGACTATGTTTCCTTTTTTTATGAAAAATCTTATAGGTTGTAACTGGAAATTGGTTGATTGAAGGTTTTCCACAGGTTGTTCTTTTTGATATTGGCTCAGCAGCCCATCGATTAGATGGTTGGAAAGGAGATTTTTTCCAATATGCACATATTGGTATTCCATATCATGATCGAGAATCGAATGATGCTTTAATATTTGGTTTTTGTGTTTTTTGGTTCATTGGCACAGTAAGTTAAAATGAGAAAAATAATGTATATAAAAAACAAATCGATATACATATTATGGTAATTTTTCTTTTCAAGTTTATTGAACAAGTAAAACGAATTAAAAAAAGTTATGTTATTGCTCATTTTCATGAATGGTTAACCGGTGTTGGTCTTGTAATGATACGTCTTCGTAATTATGATTGCGGATTAATATTTACAACACATGCAACACTATTAGGACGATATTTATGTGCTGGTTCAGCAGATTTTTATAATAATTTAAGTCATGTATGAATATTTTCAATCAAATTTCTAACACAATTTCTTTCATCATAGTTTAATCTTGATAAAGAAGCTGGTGATCGTCAAATATACCATCGTTATTGTATTGAACGTGCTGCTGCATCATGTGCACATGTATTTACAACTGTTTCACAAATAACTGGTATTGAAGCAGAATATTTATTAAATAAAAAACCCGGTAAAAAAATAAAAACAATTTCTGCTAAATTTTCATTTTGTTTTTTTTTTTTTGCTATAATTATTATTATTATTTTATATTTTGCTATCAGATATATTAACGCCCAATGGGCTTAATGTTCAAACATTTGCTGCATTACATGAATTTCAAAATTTACATGCACAAAATAAAGAAAAGCTCAATGCGTTTATACGTGGTCATTTTTACGGGTAAAAGTTTTGTTTTTATTTTTATATTCATAGATATTTTAACACCAAATGGACTTAATATTCGATTATATCGACGTAAACCACGTTCGATATGGTCATTAGATCCAATAATTATATCCCATGAAAGAATATCAAACTTTGTACAAGGACATTTTTTAGGGTAGAGATAGAGAAAAAAAAGTAATTTATTTGTTTTGTTTTGCAAATGAGTTTAGTTTAGTTTTTTTTTTTTTTTGGAAAATTTTCAGTTGAGAATTTCATTTTTCAATTTAGACATTATGATTTCGATTTGGATAAAACATTATATTTTTTTATTGCTGGACGATATGAATTTTCAAATAAAGGTGCCGATATGTTTATTGAATCTTTAGCACGATTAAATCATATGCTTAAAGTAAGAAATTTGATTTTTTATAAAAATATTTTCTTATTTTAAATTCTTTTCTTTTATAAAGGCATCCGGTTCAGATGTAACTATCGTAGCATTTATGATATTTCCAACAGCAACAAATAATTTTAATATTGAATCATTACGTGGTCAATCTGTTGCTAAAATGCTTCGAGATACAGTACAAAATATTCAAGGTGACATTGGAAAACGACTTTATGAAATTTGTCTAAAGTAAGTTGTTTATTTTGTGGAATTTACATATATTTTGGAAGAAAATAATGAATACAAGTTTCGTACCTTGCTTAAAAACCTTAATAAACGGAATTAAAATGTTTCTATAGTAACTACAGGTATAAGTCAATTATTTTAATGTTGCTGTCACTCGTAGTCAGTTACCTTGGCACAAATAAGAGGTTTGCATAGTGAACAATATTAGTTAAAATTTTTAGATTTCCAGGGAGAGTATTATAACATTCGTAAACGATCATGTCAAAAATGATGACGAAAGTACTTTGATTCTTTATAAAAAAATTTTGATAAGAACTATTTTTGATGATATAGGAAGTAACGTTAGATCATATTTCTCTTCGAATTGTATCCTCTTGATCTTCGACTCACTTTTTTTTTGTCTTGTCTCCCTTAATGTCTAATTGCCTATATATATATATATATTAGAGTGAAATAATCCCTATGATCACACACACATAATTGCATTCGTTGAACTCATTTATTGAATTATTTTCTATTCTCTTTTTTATTTAAAGAGCTTATGAAGTTGGTTACAACGTGATGCAATGATTCTAAATCATTTTGATCGCTTGAATTTTGGTTCAGTCGAATAACTGAAAAATCATCTGATGTCATATCAGAAGAATTAGCTAGATGTAACATTATTGTCATGCCTTTCGATTCAATATAATTTGACACATCTTTATGAATATAGGGTCTCTCATTAGAAACGAGTATGTGTCTTAGAGAGAACGAAGACGAGAAGAGAATATACCTCGAAGACAAATATAACATGATATTATCTTCTCATATCATAACAAATAGATTTTATCAAAATTTTATTATTATGATACTGGTTGAAGTATTCTGCCATAGTATAAAAAGATAGAGGGTCATTTTTATTATCAGTTCATATGAAGAAAAAGTTTTTTTGAACTTTTTTATAAGAAATTAAAGTACCTTTGAGTACGAACTAACTATTTCGTAGTATGTTATTGTATTCACATACTCTTCTCGTGCGAAAGGGAGGGACTCACTTACTTCCGAAATTTTATCGATTATAAAAAAATACTTATCATTATATTTAATTGTTTTGAGTAATCATTTAGTACCTTTGAATGACAGAAAGAGAAAATAATTAATATTGTTTTTCAGGTGTCATTTATAGATAAATTGAAAATAATTATTTATGTGTTGCATTAGTCATAGAATGACTTTGATATTGAGTATGCTTGATTAGGTTTTTTGGTTATTAAAAATTTGTTTTAATAGGAGATATAATATGACACATATGTCAGTTATTTAACTGTTAATGTTTTATGTTTGCATTTAATTTGTTTGAAAATATGATCATAATTATTTGTGACGATGTTGAATGACTAATAAAAGAATTCATTGTATTGTAATAATAAATGTATTATAATTTTATTGAAAAATGTTGGAATCAAATTGAAATTTGATCTTTACTATTAGTTATCAAAATAATTATGATAAAAATTGGATATTGAAAATATATTTGAGAATTAAAATAAAAATATTTGAAAATTGAAACATATTGAAAGTAGTTAAATTGTATAATATATGTATGTTAAATATGTAAATAATACTGACATTTTGTTATATTGATTTAAATAAACTATCTTTTATTATTATGAAACAATTATTTAACAAAATTTAAAAAAAGAAAATTCAATTTTTTTTTCTTATCGTAGTTAGTGCTTTAGTATCTATCTGTAACTGTATCAATTCATAGGAAATATCATTATTGTTATTTATTACTTTAAGAAACTGAATTCTTTATCATAAATTAATCAACATTCTATTTTATTTGATATAGTGAAAAATTCATAACAATTTAATCGTATCGAAAATAGTTTAAAGAAAAAGCATTTTGATATTTGATCGGTGCAGGGGCGTAACTAAGGTACCAGAGCAGGGGGGCGTAATCCTAGTTTTTCGATTTCGATCAGGGGCGGCGCAAAGAGGTCAAAGCAGTGGGGTATCTTTTTACGGCGATGATCAAGGGGGGGGGGTAGCTTTGAAGATCTTGCGTGTTTCGTGGAACCTACCGTCCTCTACTAACGGGGNCCCCCCCCCCTGCGTACGCCACTGTCCATGTTACTTCTCTTTAGGTCCTAATGCAAAAAAATTAGAGATTCATTTCTCGATATTCATCACTATATTGTATTCTATTTATTTCATTTGAGTCTATGCAAATATAGTGATGTATTTTGAGAATCTATCACACTCTATATAGAATAGAACTTACATGTTTACTTACTTATAGTAGAAAAATAGATATTTTTTCTTTCTTATTTTGCTAGTGCAAATGAGGAACTAAATTTTAAGAATATTTTATACAACGTTTAAGATTAAACGAAGATTGATCAATGTGAAATTATCTTAACAGATTTATATGAACTCTGATTTTTTTGCATTAGGACCTAAAGAGAAGTAACATGGACAGTGGCGTACGCAGGGGGGGGGGGCGAGGGCCCCCGCCCCCCTTGAGACGAAAAAGTCCTGAAGGGGGGTACAGGAAAAAATATTTTCGCGTGATAAAAAATTTTTTGTGCCATGGCGGGCCCCCCCTTACGAAGTTGGGCCCCTCCCTTGAAAAATTTCTGCGTACGCCACTGAACATGGATCAGGATGTTCGTCGACATGTAACATAAAAAAAAGATTGATAATTCCTAGAAATCAAACCCATTTTTGTAAGCGTAAATTTACAAAAAAACACAACAATCAAATTTTTAAGAAATATATTAATATCTTTCTTTTTTTAGATTTTCATTACAAATATGAACATCTTGACATTAATCAAAAAGGAACTTCCCAATGAAAAATTCTATTTATTCATCAATCGTTTAATTTTTAGTTTTCTCTTTCTTTTTGTTGGTTTACCATTATGGTATTCTACTACAAGTACATATCGTGCACCATTACCTTATTCTCGTATATCAACTCTTGCATCAAAACCTTCGGATTTAACTGAACCAAATTTAACATCATTTCAAACAGCATCATCATATGAAATATTATTTTATTTAATAAATAATAATGACGAAAATTATAGTTTAAATAAAACGATATATGAAGAAATAATATCATCAACAATTGTACCTTATTTAATAAATACATATTCAAATTATATTAATATTGATATATCAACTGAAATAATATTTAATACACGTGGAATTTTACCAAGTGAAACAATACATAATTTAGAAAAAAAGCAAATACCTTTTTTTATTAATAAACTTGAATATTTATTACATCATTCAACAAAACATTATAAAGAAAAAATTTTTTTTATTTTATTTATACCTGATGAAAAACAAACACCATTAACAGTTGATAAAAATGAACAAAATTCAATAATTGTACCTAAATGGGGTAGTGTTATATTTTATAATAAAGATAAATCTAATAATGAATTTGATGATTTAAATATAATAATGAAGCAATTTCTTAATCATTTTAATCATTTATTAGGTATTGAAACATTTGAAAAATGGATTAATTTACGTACAATTGAAAATTATAATAATGGTCGACAAACATTATTAACTTTATCACAATTACTTCTTTCAATACCTAATATTGTTATTGATGATAGTATGGCAAAAAAAATTCATAATTCACTTGATTTATTAGAAAAATGTCAAGATAATAATCAACATAATGATTGTCAACAAGGACGTTTACTTGCTGATCAAGTTTTTTTTGATCCATCATTACTTAAATTACTTTATTTTCCAGATGATCAAAAATTTGCTATATATGTTCCATTATTTTTACCTATGGGTGCACCATTAGCTTGGACATTATTCAATGATATTAAATTTTTGATAAATATTGTTAAAAAGAATCGCTAAAAATTTTTTTTTTTTCGTCTTTCAACTATTGTACAAAAGAAAAGGATTAGATCATTTCTGTGCGTTTTTTTTTCTTTTCTTTCTAGATGTCTCAACTTATTCGGAAACTTACTTCATGTACTATTTTAGCAATCAATCGTAAGTTGATTTTATGATTATTAAACTTTTGAATAATCGCTGAAAGTTGTTGCTTATTAATAGAATTTGTTGTTTGTCTTTTCATTTTCTACAGTTAATGGAATTAAGCCTTTACTTCCCCTAATATGATTTTAGAAGAACTAAAGTATAGAATTATCTTATATGGGTCGCTTTAGACAGAACGGAACATATTTATCTTTCATTTGACTTTGATTCTTTACAAGGGTTATTTTTCTGAATAAGTTCTTTTAGCACCCTGCTTGGATTTTTTTTTGTTAAAGAATATGTAGATGGTAATCTTAGTTATATTCAACTTGCTATTAAGTGTGGGGGCCGACATAAAGGATGCTCAGGTAAAAGTTGCATTTTTGACCACCCTGTGCTGGACGTCCACTAGAGCTTGTTGGATCCAAATCTTTCAGACCTATGTCCATCTGAATCGTACTTTGATAGTCTAATTGAAATTTTCTAAGCGAAATTGGATAGTCGCCTCGAAAATACGTCATACTTTTTCTCGGTTTTCTGTATTCGTTGACTACTATACCCTACATATTTCTCAGACTGTTAGAGCTCATCGAGTGCAAAATTTTTGAACCTGGTTAACAGTGAGATTTCACACGAGAACTTGACTAGGTCTAGGACCGATCCGATGGGCTCTAATATCTAGTTTAAAAAAAAAACTTTCAGAAAAAGTCTGCTTGTTCGAATATACTGCTGATAACATTCAAAAATCTCATATAACTACATGTACTATCGACGGCAAAATACGATGAACGCGAGTATTTTTTGGATATCTCGAGAACGAAAGCAGCGATCAACCTGCAATTTTCAGCATTCGAAAGAGCAATGTGGGGGACGTAAAACTATGTTAAATTCGATTGGTCAATAATCAACCAATCTGAAGACCGCTCGTCGAACATTTTTCGAACTGCCTAGAGAAACTATTTCTCATTGGATTTTCGATTCCAAGATGACTATTCTATGTGAAAAATTGTTGTCTTTCGATCTACCCAAGACGGAGCTCTCTAGCTTGTATTGTTCAAGAGCTATAAACATTTTTCTGAGACCCGCGAAATCAGCCAGGTTACCTTCAATCACCCTAAAATAAATCACAATAGGGGTAATTGACTACGCTGAGTCTAGCGATGAAGTTTGTTTTTAGTTTCAAAGCAATTTGAAGCCAATATATCAAAATGTTCGATTTATCTATATTCTCACGCATATATCGAGAGAAGTGGTACTACCAGAAATCTTAATAAACTGGCTTCAGATTGCTTTGAAACTAAGAACAAACTTCACCACGAGACTCAGCGTGGTCGATTACCCCTATTATGATTTATTTTATGGTGATTGAAGGTAACCTGGCTGATTTCGGGGGTCTCAAGAAAATGCTTATAGCTCTTGAACGATACCGGCTAGAGAGCTCAGTCTTGCGTAGATCGAAAGGCAACAATTTTTCACATCGAATAGTCATTTTGGAATCTAAAATCCAATGAGAAATAGTTTCCCTAGGCAGTTTGAAAAATGTTCGACGAGCGCTCTTCAGATTGGTTGATTATTGACCAATCGAATTTGATATTGTTTTACTTTCCCCACATTGCTCGTTCGAATGCTGAAAACTGCAGGTTGATAGCTGCTTTCGTTCTCGAGATATTAAAAAAACACTCGCGTTCATTCTATTTTGGCGGCGATAGTAGTTCATAAAATAACTATCTTCTTATGTAGCATAATCTTGAAGTATTTCAACGTCGTATTCATATTCAACTAATTCGTTTAGTTCATTTCCTATTTAAGGATGCACTTTAAGACAAATTAACCTTAAAAATTTCGTAGAAAGTTGTGTGAAAAAAAAAGGAAAATATTGCTGGTAAGCGTCTAGACGATCAGAAATATTTGACCCCTCCTTCCATTTATCTGGCCGTCCTTTACAGAGGAGCTCCCTGTGAAAATAAAACATCCTATTACATAATCAACTTCTTTATATCATGCTCTTGTGTGCTATTGCTCATATTTCTTTGCATAAAGTATTTTCTCTTTGTTTTATTTTAGGCTCATCAAGTGGAACTCTACGGACAGTATTACCTGTTCATGTTCGTACTGTATTCTCAAATTCAGCTATTGGTCTTGATAATTTTCAATTAGCTCGTGAACAACATGTTTCACGTCATGCTCAATCCATTGGTAACTAGCTATTCTTTTATCTATTTTTAATAGAATTTTTTAATATAAAGTTAGTTTCAAAAAACGCTTTCTTGATTCGGTTAATAAACCTGATGCACAAATATTCACAGAAGATTTACGTAATATGATTATGTCAGCTGATAGTGATGAAGAAATTGATGCAGTTATTGAAGCATTAAAAAAGTATGAAAGAAAAATAAAAATAAAAATAAAATTCTTAACTTTTTTTGTTCTTATTAAGATATAATTCTAATAAACTTAAATTTACTGATTATCATTTTGGTTCACCTATTATGCGTTTATTATATATTCAAAATAAACCAGAATTGGCAATGAAACTTTTTATGGATGAAGTATGTTTTTTCTTTTTCATTATATTGACTTATGATTTTGTTTTTTTCTTTCTAATGTGTCGATATGTATTAGAATTTAAAAAATATATTTAATGATTCCGGATCAGCTCTTATACTTTTAAATAAATTAGTTGAAGATAAACGTTATGATGATGCTATTAAAATATTTGAATATGGAATGCAACGTGGTTTTTCCACTACAAGTGGTCGTACATATCCAACAGATGCTGTTACATTAGCTATTGAAGCATTATATCGACAAGTAAAAAAAAATTTTTTATGATAATGAAAAAAATTTTATGTGAATTATTTAGAATTCTAAACAATCATTAGCAAAAGCTAAAGAATTGATGACTAAAATAATTGAACATGATGCAGATATAAATCCACGTACAGCTGTTATGATGGCTCTATTAGCAATTCAACATGTAATAAACATATTTAAATGAATTTCTATCAATAATAAATACTATTTAGGATGAATCTTCATTTGCTATGGAAATTATTGGTGCTGTTCGGACACAAGGTTTAACTACAATACAAAACATTCGAGTATGAAAATTGTTTTTTTTTTAAACAAAATGAGTATGCATGAGGAAAGTTAAGTACGCAAAAACAAAACATTGAAGATAAATATGATGTCTATTGAAAGAGTAATGAATGTATATGGGTCTAGATGTTAATCTTCTTTAGACATGCGCTTAAATCCAATAAGAGAATTTTAATACTTCAAATTTATCTCATTGATTATATCCTTCATTTTTCTTTTTGTACGTGTTTAACTTTTCTGTGCTGAAGTTTCGTCTCGTATTTATCGTTTACGTATTCATTGTTCACCAATCTGAATTTTTAGGCGATATGTTATGCAGAAATGGGACGAGCAGAAGAAGCTATAAATGTTGTTCATTTACTTGCTGATCAACCACCAATTGATAATGATCATCGTCGAGTATTTCCACTTGTGGTTTGTAAAAAAAACTATATATTTTAAAAAAAGTGAAAACATATTTCTATTTTTAGTTACAACACATTAAAAAAGCTGTAGAAAAATCTAACGATGAAGATCTTAAAACACGTTTTGAAGATTTATCAAAATTTGTTTCACAAAATAATCGTTTATCAACAATAGATCTATCAGATTTTCTCAATGAACCGATTTCGTATGTTTCATTTTCGTTTTTAGACAAACAAAAATTCTTCTCATTTTAGTCGTCGTTATGCAATAGCCACTGGTCGATTAGGTGGACAACAAGTTTCTGACGGTAGTTTTCAATCAACTGCTCAGGTAATTCGAGAGATACTTCGTTACCGTTAATACTTTATTTAATATTACAATGTCTAAACCCTAATATATTGACTAAAATACCCATTTTTCACACTAAATAATGAGTTAAAATATTTATGTAAATAACTGAAATAGCTTGTAGAATTTCCAAACTTGTGTGCACATAAGTGGTAATTGTAAAGAAATATGAACTCTATCAGAAAACATAACTACCTGACAATGGTATTCACTATATCTCATTATGTTACTTATGTGCATTTATATCGAATCTTGGATTAAGTTTTGTTTCCTTTTTGCATTATTCGAAAATTGACACTTATATGTACCAAAAGTTTCTAGAAATGAAAAGTTTTTATTTGCTAGGAACTAAACGTTTCTGTTTTTGAATGTCGATTTCTTCGAAATAATACATTTGTCTTGTGTCTGACAAATATTCGATCAAAATCTTCTGAAGTTTTGTTACTAATTCTGAAATCTAAATTATTCTAACCATCTATGAAAAAATTTAAAGTTAACCGTAAAATTTTGATGGGTAATAATGTTGCTGAGTAATGAAATAATTTGATGTTTAAGAGATGCTCCGTCAGATCACCATCCAAGCCGCTATATGCTAATTTTTTTTTTGTATTGTTTAGTTCAAATGAGAAATCATGTTGAGAAACTTATATGTTCAAAATATGAGGTTTCAAGGACTTTCAAAAACTAGATTTAACTTTTTAGGATACCATAGTTCGATGAGATTACAGGCAAATTAATAGCAAAAGGACGACCATCAAGCATTTTTCTGACTCAAAGATACGATTAGAAGCATTAAAAAATTCAAAAAAAAAAAACTGTCAATATGTGAAAAAAGCCATTTTTTAAAATTGTTATGATCTACCTACAAAAATTCAGAGGATTGTAATCTTCGACATTTTCTACAAGTACGTTAGAAAAACTTAATATTTTGAACATATAAGTTTCACGATTTGATCCTTCGTTTGAGCTGTAAAAATTCAAAAAATACTTAACACCGACCGGTCTTATGCCAGTTCATAGGTAAAAAAAGGAATACATGTCCAAATCAAAGAGAGTAAAATAGCGAAAACAAAAGCGAAGGTGTATAATAGCGGGCGTAGGCACTCAATTCATTCATATCTCCGCCCACAAAATTATCACCATAGTGATAATTTAATAAGATATTTTGAGTCAGTATAAGAAAAAAAAAAAAATTTCTTTTTTTTTTTTATTTTTTAAGCGTGATATTGGTTTTCGAGGAGGTTTCAATCAAAAATCAAATAATTTAAGACAAGATACTGGTGGTAATAGTTATATTCGAAGCAATAGATATCAAGCTAGTCGATTTGGTGGTGACACTTATACTAGCAATGAACGACGGTATGTTAATAATTTTTAAAACAATGATGAAATTTCAAAATTTTATTTATTAGTTCACAAAATTCATTTAATGAGAATGAACGATTATTAAATCGTAATAAAAACTCATCGTTCAATGAAAATTTTCGTCAAGAAAATTTTATTCAACAAACAAATCAATCATCATCACGTTCACGTGAACGAGAAAAAGAACAAAATATTTCACGTCGTAGTGGAACAAAAGTTGGTACAATGGAAACTACATCAACATCACCTATTCCACAATATTCAACACGAACTAATACAGATACTACAAAACAATCAAAACGAAACCGTAATGTAGATAAGAATGACAATAAAGTATCATCATCTACTGGTTAAAAAGGTAGCAAGACAATCTGATGAAAATACTGAAATTCAAGAACAAAGTTCATAAAATCAAGCTAATGAGAAACCATCTGAATATTCTTAACGTTAACAATAACTTTGTTAGTCTTGCTTTTGTTTGTTATTTGTTATACCACATTGTTTTTGATTATTCAAAAAATAAAATAAGAATATTCACATGTGTTGCAATATTAATAATAACAACAAACGATAATTACCGTTATCATATTCTCTTCTTTCATCATTAAGGTAAGTACCAAGTCTAAGGGAGTCAAGATCCTGTGTTGTATCTTTAAAAACAATACAATTAAATAGCTCAGAAAATTTCTTTATATGATTAACGTATCATACATCAAATATAATACTTGAGAAAGATACTAGTAGATAGAAGTGTATGTTAATGCATTAATCGGCAGTGACGATGGAAATTGTTCAATTTCTATTGACTTTCGAATGCGTTGAAACTAGACAAAAATATCACCAACAAATGATGAAGAGTGTCGAAGATTTCCAAAAATCTAGTTAGAGTGTGAGTGTAGTGTGTTGAATTCATCGAGTCTGAAACCAACCCGATGAGTTCTAGTGACTTGAAATGGACCCTCTTCAAATGTTCTCTTCCGATATCGATGATTTTTCTGTCCCCTATAGATGCTACATAGTGTTCTAATAAAACTATTAAAACGATTTGAGTTCCTATTGAGATTTGACTGAACTATCGAATATTTAATATGTCTATTTTCGAAAAATTCTTATTTTCGAATTTTGATCGGGAACTTCGCCTATATCGAAAACTCAACTATAGTAGTTTCCATAAAAAAGTTCACAAGTTTTAAACAAATTCTCTTCGAAATATGAAGCGTTCAAAAAATGCATGTTATATACAATATTCATACAAAAAAGTCTATATTTCGAATAGAATTTGTTTAAAACTCGTGAATTTGTTTTTGGAAGCTAGTGTAATTGAGTTCGTTATGTGCACAAAGTTTTAGATCGAAATTCGAAGATATGAATTATCCGAAAATCTGAAATCTTTAGAAGAAAAAAGGTGAACAACTTAGTCAAATTTCAATAGGAATTGAAGTCCTTTCAGATTTTTTACTAGACCGGCTTACAAGCTCTACTAGTTAAATAGTTCATATTGACTTTCATGATTGTCTTAAAAGATCAATGACATACGGAAAACTTCATAACTACTAGTATTTACTATAGATAAAGTCATAAAAGTAACATATATTAAGAGCATATGTTTTATGACATATTAACATATCATGGATGTTTTACTCAAAAATTGAGACTGTGTGATAACTGTACTTAAAGTATATGACTGTGTAATTCATAAGTCAATTAAGGTCAATTGAAAAAGAAGACAAAACAAGGACGAATAGTTATAACACTAATCGATCATACAAACTATTCAGCAGTATATGAAAATGATAATAAATGTTATTTCTTTTTCTTTTAAGATAATTATTTAATATTTAGAACTTAATCAATTATATTTCGCTTTTGACAAGAGTTATATCGATGTATATCGTTTTTTTATGTATTTCGATCATAATGATTGTTTTTTTTTCTTCTTTCATTTGTAAGTGAAAGTAATACTATTAAATAAATAATATGAAAGTTTTGTTTTTTTGGGGTATAAAGTGACAATATTAAACCCTAGAAGTAAATTATATTGATTTAGAAAGAAGAGCAATCAATTGGGTATATAACTAAATTTGTGGTTTCGTTTTTTTTTTTTGTTTTTTTTTTTGTATTAAAATACAAGGTCATATTCTGTTTTCTTTTTCATTCGATTAAAGAAAAACATCAATGAAAGGTAAAGTTATGTCTTTTTTATTTCATGTTTGTTAAAAACACATAAAGGATAAAAAGGAGAATAATCCTGCCTTAGATGCAATATAATGCTTTGTTTTTTTTGTTATTGTTGTTGAACGAAATAAAAATAAATAAATAAATACTAATATGCGATATGTACAATTGAGAAAAAGCAATAGTCAAAAAAAAAAAATAATTAAGCACCGCTTCTAAAAAGTAAAATTGATATTGGACCTTTTGTAAAATAGACAAAACCATTCATTTCATGTGTTACATATGAACTAAATTGTTTACCAACAATACAATGCCAACATGGTGAAAATTTTTTATCTGCAGTACGTTTAAGATAACCAGCTAATTCACGTTGATTAGTTATTTCATATTTTTGAAAAGCTGTTCGAACTAAATCAATCATTTCTTGTTCATACTGTGCTGGTAAATCTGTTGACTTAACTATTAAATCATCATAATTATCATCATAATCATAAGAGAGATTACGGCTAGACGTTTGTTGTTGTTGTCTATATTGATTAGTATTACGTGTATTATATATTGATGATTGATATCGATTTTGTTCATGAAGTAAATCATCATATGAATATGCACGATTAGTACCACTTAAATTATAACATGAACTATGTGGACGAAATGTTTCAGCATCATTTCCATATGTACGATATGATGGTGATGATGAATAAGCTGCTGTATGATATTTATTTCGATCATTTTGTGAATTATAATAATTATTAGGATATCTTCTTGGTGATGATGGTGCGCTTAATGGAGTTGATCTTATAGGTGAATTTGAACGTGAATAACCATCGACATTACGTCTTAAAGCCATATTATTATCATTTATTGTATTAATATCGTTATTATATGGTGATTGATTATATTGACGATGATACGATTGATGTTGATAATTTGTTGCTGTTTTCTCCGCTGTTGATGTTCGGACAGGTGATGATGAATAGGTGGATGTGTACATATCGATACGAGACAATTTTATATATATATATTTGTATATGTTCTCCTTTTTTTTTTCTTTTTTGCTTTTTTCCTCGTTCTATTATCGTTAGAGCATGAGGACGAAAGAGATGAAAAGAAAAATGAAGCGCTTGTTGCTGTTGTCGAGCTGCATATAGATCAAAAAATTTCAAATATAGGACATAAATTTAATCGCATATTTTCGATCGATTCTATACAAAATACTTTTATGTCTCAAAAAAAAAAGAAAGAAAAAAAGAAAAAGAAAAAGAAACAGAAAAAAAGTACATAAAATGATATTACAATAATTATAATAATGATCAATTTTCGATGAGAACAAGAAAATATTCACTTGATGAAGACAAGGAGAGAAAAAAGAGCATCTGATTTTTTTTCTATCCTTGTTTTTCTTATTCTATAGTTTAGTTGATGCTTGAAAAAGAACTCGAATATTTTTCTTTTTGAATACATCATACGTGTTATTGTAAATGATATGCAAACTTATGGACTCTGAATATTCAGTATAAACTTGATTATTAAAAGTAAAAATATTTATTCAATATTATATATAAAAAAGAAACTCTTCTAGGCAATGATGTCTCTGATAAGTGTAAATAAAAATAAACAAAAAGAATTATCTCATTAGAAATAAGTTTATAATTCTTATCAAATAAATATGAAACCAGGGCATTTACTGATTCTAAACGAGATGATTGTAACGTCATTATCTTTTCCTTTCTTTTCATGTTCGTTTTGCTTCCTATTCACTTGTAAATTGTTTCTTTCTTTTTTCGTCATTGAATCAAATTGGCATTTTATGATAACGATTAAAATGAGTCTTCATGAATCAATCAATTGATACAAACATCTGAATGGGCACTATTTTTTTTAGTCGCTTGTGTTATATAAAATTGAATCTACGAAAGAAGAAAAAAAGATTAAAAGAGATTCAATTGTTGAATGTCATTGTTAGAAAAGATTATAGTTTTATACAGTAACCTTGACAATAGTCCTATTTATTAGTTCACAGTAACGGGATTTTTTTCAAAGAAAAGAATTAAATATAAGCTTTGCACACCTACCTTTTGTTTGACAAGTATGCATATATACATGATAAAGTATTACATTACTCTTCTATGCATTGTTCCCATCATCGATATGTATATGATTGTCAACAAATATATATATATATATATCGTTAATCTGGCAGAGTAATGCCGTATGAATCATTGACTTATATTCATTGTTTTTCGATTTTATACAATTCAAGAAAAAGTACTCTGAAATAGATTTTGTCATAAAGGATGTAAAATAAGTTTTGATTGTCTCAAGTAATATTCATTTCTCGTATATTTCCATATTGTTGTGAGCATATATTCACAGTATATATACTGAACATCTAAATCTACTTTCTACGTATTATTATTACAGAGATACAAGCAATGTCAAAATCATTAAAATTTTTCGAAATTATTTTTGAAATCACCAACAATAAGAAAAATTGTAGTTATTCGATTACTAGCTCACTGAGAATAAGATTTAGTTTTGTGCATGTTATTTTTGTGTTTTTGTTATTTGTCCTTGCGGTTATAAATAGAAAATGAAATTGTGCAATCGCTTACCTTTTTTAATGATGACAACGTGCAGAAACAAGAAAACATTTGGATAAATTATATGAGAAAGTAAATGGCTATCATAAATAACTGGCAAGAGAAGTCTATCAACTGATAAATTACTTTTGAGTCGAAAATACATGTTTTATGTAAACCCAAGTGGGCTATGAATATCCTGAAGAGTTCGTGTCCTTGACTTATTACTGTGTAGACACTATGATTTTTTTACCATATTAGTATCTTAGGATAGAAATAACGAAAACTACCTGAAACTTTTACCATAGACTATTCTCGTTAAGAACTGTTTTTGTGCAATGTTTCAAGTCGAAATTCGAAAATAAATTTCCCTGGTGGAACTCTTTGCTTTTGAGTGAATTTGTCAATATCTGCTGTTCTTTTTCTCAATCAAGTTACAATTCATTTTTTCTTTTAATAAACTGAAACTAACGCACTTCGAGTTTTAGAAGCTAAAAGAAGGATAACAAGGGAGTGATGGTATATTCATACTACTGGTTTTACTCACATCCCATACTTCTCTATTTCGTCATACACAATGTTCATCACAGATTGATCCGTACTTCATCTTGGCTTGTTATTAGTACAATCTCACATTCGACTCCTCAATACGTAAAATTTTGATGGAAAATTTTTTACGACAAAATATTATGTTTCAAATCTGTTTTTACACAGTCATTCTGAATATCATACTTATTTTCCATAAAGATCATTTTTTTTTTGACAATCGAAATCTTCACATAGAGGTCTAGACATGCACGATAATCAATGTTGGTTTTTAATTTTTTGTATAAGAACTTTTATTTTGGTTTAGATTTTGTACTTGATTATTTGCCAAACCAGATTTCTCTCTCCGAGCTCATTCCAAATCTTATACGTTTTGTTCTTGGAAAGAACACCTCAGTATGCAGGGAATCATAGAGTCTTTCTTTTTGAAATTCTTACTTTTTAAGCGTAAGGAAGAAATCTCAAGTTCGATGATTTAAAAATCTCTAAAAATGGAGGTTTTTCTAAAGAGATATGTTCTTATATTATAATAAAAAAAAAGCTTATTCCAAAAAAACGATCTTTGTGATGCCCTGCAACCTGACATGCTCTTTCCAACGGAAAAAATTAAAATATATAACATGAATCTAAACAGAGAAATTTGGGTTGCGCGTTCGATATATGATGAACTGAAAAAAAACGAAACAGACTTGTTTTTTTTCCCGAAAACAACTTATTTTTCGAATAGGGGATGAGAGAAATCTTCGAATATTTTTTTTAAAAAACGAGGCACCAAGTAAAAATTTTTGTCGTCTATGAGAGATCAGAGCATGGGATATCTTTCCTTGTGTTTATTTTGATTTCGATCATTCTGAAAAAAGTGACTTTTTTTTTGAAGGGGAAAGAACTCAAATCATTTGCAGAGATCAGCAAAGAATTGGACTTCTAACTAAAACAAGTTCGTTTTCTTAGAAATCTCACAACTGATCATCTTGACAAATGCGATGATCGATCGTATTAAGAAACATGACAATAATCAATCATATTCAGACAGACGAATCATGTTTCTATGGGTATCCGACGTTGTTTTGATCTAGATTTTCACACTTGTTTGTCTCGATCTTGCGTTTCGTTCTCAAGTAATATTAGTAGGAAGTTAAAAAGACATGTATCTATCTATATTGTGATGACAAAAAAGAAAAGTAGAATTTTTTTTATTGTACCAAATAAAAGCGAGATTATAGAACTATAAATACATTCTAAAATAAATCAATAGAATTTCGTGAACATATTATTGATCAAAATTCAACTGTAACTTGCGCTACTCCAGTAACTGCATCACATCCTTGATACCACAATGTAAACTGATCGATGGATGTCTGTTTCCAACCTTCAGCAAAAACAACTTGCGGTGTAAGACCTCTTTCGGCCCATTTATTTGATGTCAAATCACATCGTTCCCAGTCGAGTTCAGGTGTTAGGATCGGTTGATCACTTCGAGCAAGAATTTTTGTTGGATCATTACCATCCATGATGACCCATCCTAAATTATATTCACGATCCCAATTTGGTTTCAAATGATTTGTTGGTAAAGGTAGACGTCTTGCTGAATTGTATAGAAAAAGATAATTTCCATCACTTAAACGACGTGGTTCAGGTCCAGGTTCAACTAATTCACTATCGAAATAATCGACACGTTTTTCAATAAATGAGCGATTCGTATATGTATAATGAAGTAAATCGCTTGTTGTTGCTAATGCTAATTCAATATTCGATTCATTAAAGAAGAGATATTGATGTGTTACATTATGTACAAGTAATGTTGCTGCTTTACTCCATGACAATTCAGGAAATAAAGGTGGATGTAAAATCCAATTTTCCTTTTTTGTCGGATCTTTATTTGATGCACAAGTAGCCAATGCAGCATGAGCACTCCATTCGTGTGAAGGAGTCCAATAAACTGCTGTATAGAATAGATAATAACTACCATTGACAACAATAATTCGAGGATCTTCGACACCAGCTACTTGATAAGGTCGATCGTCCGAATCGATAATAATCTGTTCACTATGTACGTATTCAAATTTATTCTGTTTGCTATCAAGTTGTCGTACAAGAGCTAATTTTGATGGACCAACATCATAATTTGACGTTGCATTTGGTAATAAATCTTGTACACGAACAACAAGAGCAATACTGTCATCGGGAAGTGAAATAAAGGCACTGTTATAATTGAATCGAAATTGAGATTGATTGTGCCAGAATGAGATAATAGGATTGATTGATAAACGATGAACAGTAATTTTAGGTGGAATATAAGATAATGACGCAGATAAATTCACGAACAGTACTAAGAGTAGAAATATCATTATTCCTATTCAACTCTATCGTTATGTGTGAATAGCGAAGGACGAAAAAACAAAATGTGATATTTGTATATGTATCATATGTATTACAAAATACATGGATAAAAAGATTAAAGACTTAAAGTGCAAAACAAATGAATGAATAAAAATAACAATCGGAACGAATCTTTTTGTTTTTACTAATATTCAATGAGTTTCAAATATTGGATTTTTTTTTCAAGAATCGATCGATTGAAACCTTTTCCATTTATAATATTGTCCAAGATAAAAAGATCTTTACTATTAGCTACGCAAATTGAATCATGTAGTCATGCTGCCATAAAATTTTCATTGAGTCTCATTCCTGTCCAGATAATTTATAGTGTCTCAAAATGCTTTCAACATTTTTTTGTTTTATATGGACATCTGCGAAATGATGTTCAATGCAATCTAGTCCTGAGTCATTTGGGGCGTGGATGTAGGTATGAATCTGACCTAATATTATGAACATTCACACTCACACACCACACCATCACTTACATCCATCCACGCTCACACCCTTTTTTTTTTTTGTCAAATGGATAACAAAACAAAAGTCCAGTACAAAGTAGAGTAAACACGACACCATGTGTTACACTGAGTACTAGATTGTAAATATCAATAGAATATCTCATATCCACCTTGGTATTGTTCGAATACTTTGAGCTTCGTACCTAAGCCGTTGTGAAGTAGCTGGGTATTCGTCACTACCGTGGTTCTATTGTTCGCTACTGTGGCATTGTCGAACGTTGCTACTCTAGTGATCACACTGTTTCTATGCTGAGAGATCATTCTTGTCATTTAGAGATTCCGTGATTTTCCTGTCAGCCAACATAGTGTGGAAGTAGGAGTTATTCGGTATCTTTTCTTCATCAACACCCACCTACATGCCAACGCCACACCTACACATTCGAATTACCTATCCACAATAACAAGATATCGAAAAAAAGTTCTCAGAAATTTTCCTGTCTATATCGATAGGAAGTTTTGAGAAGTTTTTTTCCATATATTATGATTCGAAACAGAACAAAGGAATACTGCTTGCTTTTCTTTTCTAAGTCATTCTGTTTCTGTTATTCATTCGTTGTTAATGAATATCTGCATTTCTGCAATGATAACGAACAACAAATAAAAGCCTTGACAGAGCGATGACGATATGGCATACTTCTACGATCTTTTAAATTTCTTCTATCACTTCTACTTGATATGATACTAGTGTGTTATAGGATCAACTTTTTACATTTGAAACATATAAATAATACAAAATCATGCAGATCAAATCAGAAAATAAAGCTAAAGAGCATAGAATATATGATAACAGTACTAAATTCAACATTGAAGAAAACAAGATTTGAAACATTATCATCGTTCAAGAAGACAATGACAATAAAATCAAATTTCAACGGTAAAAAATATTTGCAATGAAATCGCACTCTGTGCACAAGACTCTTATTGTAAAGTGAAAAATAATGATAATCAAAACTATGTACACAAACAATTGACTTTTTTGTTGTTAACCGATAAAAATATATGATTACCAAATGATCGTCGTTTTGGAGTTATCTGAACAAGTTGCAAAGATAATAACAAACTCTTGTAATCTATCGTTCAGATAGGATTTTTCGTTATAAATAAATATGGAAGGACTTTTAAATATATTCATACACTTGGATGTGAATGTTGTTCTTATCTTCTCTCACATACACGTCCCCATGTATTCCATAAAATATCTTCACAGACTTTTTCTAGTAGTTCAATGAGCAATATTTATGTTTTTGGTAATTAGAAAGACATTTGCTCTGAATACTTATTAAAGTTGTATACCAATGAAAGTGTAGCCTATTATTTACTCATCGATTTGTAAATAGAAAGACGAAAAGCAAATCTAACGATAACAACAAACACTGATGGACCAAATATTTTCACAGTGAGTAAATCAAAAAAGTCATTCAACGTGCGCAATACCTGAATTATTAGATGGCGATAGTCGTCGTGATACAAATGAGTGAGTAAAAGACTTGAAAAGATAATCTAAAAAGGCATCGTAAAAATATCATTACGAAATTCATCATTATTAAATAAATTTCGAAGCTGTTTTTTTTTTCAACTGCTTAGATAACAAACATCATGACAAATATTTATTCTACCCATTTATATTCCACATGGTTGTGTAATTTGTGTTATTACACAATTTATCCACATATATAGATTGTGTTTCTTTGGGTTTTTTTTTTCACTCATCTTTTCTACCGACACAATGGCTTGTATAGTTCATAATTCACGCTATCGTTGTTTATTTCATGGTGTTGTTAATGAACTTCGAAATGAAAAACGTATTCCTGTAACTATATTACGAAATATGCCTCGTCAATGTTGTACATGTAACAATCTTGACAATCAAACACTAATAAGTGTTGTTATTGATGATACAGAAAAATTAATCAGTTTAAAGAATCTTATTGATAAAATCAATCGAGATAAAAAAGACAATCCTAAACTTATATTACCATTAAATCGATTAGAAAATTTTATTCAAGAAAATCGGGTTTTAGCTTCAAATTTATTATCAACGTCAATAATTGATAATGAAACTAATAAATCTCATAATTCCTTATCCGAATCCCAAGAAAATTTGTCAATTGATACTGGAAGACGAAAGTTTAGAAAACAAATTAAACCACCAAAACCACTTCAAAATGGAAGATTTCTATTTTTACCCTATAAATTTGAAACTCAACCAAGGATCGATGTAGAAAGTGAAGTTGTAAAAAAGTTACAACGTGGTCGATTTATTGGTCGAAATGGTTATATTGCATCATTAGAAGAAAAATATAATGTTTATATTAATATGATAACACCCGAAACAACTGCACAAATTAGAAAAACACTTGAAAATGCGAAAGCAGGAAAAGAAACTGTAACAATTCATAATCGAATAGATCTATCAGAGGGAGAAGATGGTGAATGGATATTAGTTCGACCAAAAAAATGTGAAAAACAAGCAAACACAATTGATTTTGAAGCATTACTAGATGAATTAACAAATCGATGGAAAAATTTCCCAATAAAACGAGAGCACAAAAATGAAATGGAGAGTGAAGAGGAATATAAAAAGGAACATGAAGAGTCTTCAAATAAAGAATAAGTTGTAGTTTATTTTATATTAATATTGTATTTTTCTTTTTATTTAAATTTTATATTTGCAATTTCATTCACTATTCTCGATACAATATTGATCAATAACAAAATCTATTTAACATAATTGAAATATTTTTTATCTAAGAGGTTGTGTGGGTGTGAATGCACCTGTAGCTGTGAATGTGAGTGTCGGTGTGAGAATGTTAGGGTGTGCTTGTGCTTGTTGATCAAGAAAATAATAACACTCACACTCTCATTAACGTTCGGCATTTGGTTTGATTCCTCTGTATCACCTGGAAGTTTCTCATCGTTAAGTCTCCTCTTCATTCCTCAAAAATTGATCTCAGATCAAGTACGTTCAAATGACATGAAATTCTCAGAACATGTTAGCGCTGTAGTGGAGAAGCCATGGTTAAAGTTTTAGCCTTATATCATGATATTTAAGGGAGATACTGACCAAACAAAGGTAAAAAGTAGTTTATTTGCCAAACCAGATTTCTCTGTCCGGGCTCATGGTATATCTTATATGTTTTTTTCTTTGAAAGAGCACGTCAGGATGCAGGGAATCATACAATCTTTTTTTCTGAAATTCTTACTTTTTAAGCGTAAAGAAGGAATCACAAGTTCAATGTTTTTGGGGTGTGGATGAATGTGGGTGATGATATGGCCCGTGAGTGTGAATGTTCATAGTATTAACTCAGATTCACACCCAGTATTACCAGATGATGCGCGTGTTTTTTAAAGTTTATTACTAATAAAATCAACATTCATGTTTAGAGTGAAAAATTTAGAGAGAAGGATATCCAAGAGGGTAGCAACGACTAGAATTGTTATTTTTCATTCTAAGACTGGATCATGAGTTCTGTTTTAGTAATAATATCAATAGGGAAGCTCATATTGTAGATGAAAAATAAGTAATCTACAAATTACATGTGATTCTATTCTATAGGCACGCCGTGAGAACGATACTTTTTTTTCTGAGAAAATATATGTGAATTTCACAAAAATAAAATTCATCATAACATTAATAAATTGATGAAAACATTTTAGTATGGATATAAACAATATTACTTTAAAGCATTTAATTATAGTAAAAGAAAGATTCTATTTTATATAGTATATTTATGATCAGTAAAATTTTGATAAATGCTGCACAGAATAAATATAAATGAAAGCAGTTGTATTTTCTGATCGTGTCCCAACTGAAATGTGTAGAATGTTAACGTGGAACATAAGTTTGATGATTGATGGTTTAGTGTGACTGTGTTTAAAAATTCTGATGTTTGCATTGTTGAGCACTCATAAGGTACAAGATAAGTATGAGAAGCAAGATGCTTTTCATCTTCTTACTGATGATAATTATTCGTTTGTCATCATGTGAAAAATTCAACGTATCTTTTTTATGAATAATGATCAGTTAACAAGAAATGGTCAATAATACATGTATGATTGCTTACATTACTATGTTAAGGATTCATTCGATTATAAGAAAAAAACGTGCATTCTCATCCATCAAATCATTTTCTATTGCTTTCGACCATTAGAAGAATTTCAACAAAATCCATTGCACTCTACGAATATACGTGACCAAAATTTTACATTCAATCAGTTACGAATGATGAATGTAACTAGTCATCAGTTATATTTATAGTCAACACGCATTGATACTGTAGAACAATATGAAATCTATTTGATCAGTAATCTTGTATCATCTACAACAGTGTTTTGCAATTGTACGACATATTGGTTTGGCCCTTTCTGTCAATATTCATCTAAATTTTTTTCAAACTGTCCTTCTTCATTTGCTAATTTTGTGGAATACACCTTATTGATGAAATCATTTGCTCATTCAGGTTTGAAATATAGTGTCACTGTGTTTAATCTTTCACGTTATACGCACTTGCAATAATGTAATCGTGGTGGACTATTACCAGCTTGTCTAGATTGGCGTGATATCTGTAATGGTAGAGCCAATTGTCTTGATGGTGGATTCGATGAACAATATTGTAATCAACTGGAAATTAATGAATGCAACGACAATGTATATCAATGTCACAATGATCAACGCATTATTTCAGAAGACTTTTTTACATGACAATGATCATGATTAGGATTGTTTGGATCAAACAGATAAGTCTCTTCTATTTCTAACCATGATAACATATTGTGTCAAAGATCTATCATTCGGCTGCGAAGAGGCAATATGTTACCTCTGGAGGAATGAATATCAAATTGAACGCGGTGACGGTGATTGCACGACAAACACATGTTTTAATAAACGAAATATATTTTCGAAGAAAGCAAGGATTGAAACATCAAATGTGTCTGATGAATGTCGAAATGCCATGTTATGCCTTACTAGTTCTGGCTATTATTGTGAAACAAACGTAAATATAACTGAAACTTACCCGCCGCTTTTCTAATTTTCTGGAATTCCTGTTTTGTTTTGCCACATGAAACTTTTATATCATAACAGTCGATCAAGTCACAATTTAAGAAAGCATATTATGCCAAATTATGTATGTTATGATGCTCGATTATGTTCGCTTCTATCAATAGTTCAGATAAGCAATTATTCTGCTTGTCGACATACTGATCAACTATCATATGCTTTCGACCATAATAGAATATCGTGATTTGTTTTGATGAGTGTACTTAATGATATATTTCGTGCATGTTCTGCTGTCGAGGTCGGATATTGTCATCACCATAATTTGTGCATTTGTAATTCAACCGCAAGTAAATGCACTTCGAAGCATCGCCTTCTCGATGGCTTATCAGACTATTATTGGAATGATAATAAAGAACTTACAAACAGTTGTTCTTTGAATAACAGTAAGCATTATCTCATGTGTGATAATAGGTGTATATCTTCTATTTTAGCTTTTAATACATATAATTATTGTTCAACAAAAGAATATGGAATTCAGGTAAAGCCTTTCGATACAAGTAAACAAACTTACTGTCAAACGATATACAATGAATTCGTTGAAATATCTCCTTCTTTTCTTATTAATGGACCAAACTATACAGACGAAACCGAATGTAATTCGTGGCTATGTAGTAGCAGTTATGCACGATGAGATGGCTATTAGAATTGATTTAACTGAGTAGATGAACGATAATTATGTCGTAAATGTCATTCTAGAATTCCATCTTTTCGCTTTAAGTGTAGAAATAACTCGTAGTGTATATCTGGGAGTGCATTGTGTAATCGAAAATCAGAATGTGTTCATAATGATGATGAATAATTTTGCATGAATGACTCTTTTTTCATTTGGAACTTCGAACAATGATAAAAGTCAGATAGAACAGTTTCTTTTGAACTTGACTGATGTGGGAAAACGGGAATATATAGTACTAATATTAGATAAGTCGCGTAGTTATCTTGAAGAGTTGCAGCGTTCTAATGCTACATTATTTCCCTTTTCGATCAAGCAAAGTCGTGCTGTTCGAGAAAAAATACATCAAATAAACCAGATGAATATATTATCGCTGATTTGGCGATGCAATCGTGGATTGAACATTTATGTATGACTCGGAAAACATAATTATGAAGAAAGATATCTTTGTCCATCAAGTTATTACGGGGATCTATGCCAATATCAAAATCAATGAGTGAGTCTTACAATAAAAATATTTGCTTCGTCAAAATGGCGATGGTTATTTTCATTCATTATTACATTGATTGATGATATTGAATTTTACATCAATTCTTATGATCATATTCAATATTCGTCCATTCGAGATTTTAATATGAAATTCAATATTTATCTTCTTTATTCAAATAGACCGAAAAATGTCTCGAAGAACTGTAGTTTTCACATTGATGCTGTTAATGCACATTCTTTACAGTATCGTACTAGTTGGTTATTTTGCATTTGTTTCCCATTTTTACCTGTTTATCGAGTGGTCCTGAAGATTGTCTTTTCCAGTGAAACCGGTAAAAACTTGTTTATTATATTGTGTTGTACATGGCCAATGCTTGAAATATGAAAATACAGGTACAGATTTCTGTCGCTGTAATATTGGTTGATCGGATCCTCAATGCACTCGTCAATACAATTGTAATTGTTCGTCTGACTCTCTTTGTGTCAGTCCATCAATTTGTTTGTGCTAACCTGAAAAATTCGGATCCCAATGTTACTTGCATAGAAACTTATACAAGCCTGATTCTTGCATGAACGGTAGTGACTGTTTATCATCTGATATACGTATCTTCAATTCAATTCAATTGTCGTTTTATTGATTTTCTTCTACGAATATTTCCTATAACTGTAGATTAGCTGAATGCTTGCATAGCTATTGAAAGAGTTATAACAGTTATAAAAGGAACTCGTTTCAACAAATTTAAGAGCAAACGAATTACTAAATAGATCGTTGTATTTATTATAATATCCACTATGAGTACTTCGATGCATGAGTTTTTCCATCACCATCTGATTAATGATGAAGAAGACGAAGAAGGCATTTGGTGTATAACAATATATTCTCCATCTTTTCACATGTTTTATTCAATAATGATGCTTATTCGTTTGTTGGATCCATTTGTGATCAATTTTTTTTTCATTTGTTACGATCATTATAATGGCATCACGGCAACGATTGAATGTGCTAAAACAGCTATCTTACAGAGAACTCTTTCGAAAATAATTTCAGAAACATAAATATCTTCTTATTTCTTCAATTAATCTTCTCATATTATCACTTCCCTTCGATTTTATGAAATCGGCTCGTAAACCATGGTCACTTTTAGTCGGTTATTTCGTCTCATTTATTGTTCCAGTTCTTATTTTTGCTATTTCGGTCTTACCATCAAGCTTCTATGACGTAAGATTCATTTGAATTAATTCTACGATACAGAAATATCTATATTAATTCAATATATAATATTTTATTACTTTTCGCTTTAAGATTTTTTTCTTGTATTTACTTCAAAGAGAGAATCTATCTAATGTAGTGATTTTCAGATCTGAACTAAATGATGGGTGTGAGTGTAGATCTCCTTTGATCAACAAACACCCACACCCATAGTTGACTCAAACAGGTTTATATATATAGCTAACTATGGTAATCATCAAGTAATACGTTGGGCATCAAACTCAACTATAGGAAAATGTATTGCTGCATGCTTGTACGGGCACTTCAGGAAGCGAATGTGGTCAGCTATATCATTCAAATGTTATTCAATTTGATAGTAATGGATCCCTTTATGTCAACCATCTGTGAAATAGTCAAGTGCAAAAATGCAAAACCATCAAAAATTTTCTTAAGGCCAGCCCACCAGCCGCACCCCGCCCCCCCGACCCACCAACCACCCCGCACAGCCAACCACGGGCCGCCGCTCG